TTTCCATCCGGGTCACTCATCACTGTAATTCCTTGGACACTGTTGTCAGAACAGACAAACAAGGACTAAATTCTTGAGAAAAAAAACTCACCCCATTTCCAAGCCACCCACCTACATACATAACTACATGACTTGTGTGTTACCACATCGCGTGGGCTGCCGATGACTCCACACTGCTGAGGTGTCTGGGGTGTTAGTGGGTGTCTGGCAAGGGGGTGGCTGGGGTGAATCTTTTTCGGCCAAGCTTTCCACAGAAGTCACAGTCATTGGCGTACATATTTAGTTTTGACCGTGTAAAGCCCTGTGTCCACATAGCGTCTTTTTGTGGCAGAAAAGCACTGGATAACCTTCTTACAGCGATCTATTTGGGCTACTTCATAATTGTTTGACATTGTTTTTTCACCATGAACACCAACCTAAAGATTCTTCCTCTCATACTTTGTATAAACAAGTTAGTTAGTTAAAAGCGCTCAGTCTGACAGCCATAGAGCAAACGATGATCTGCGTACGTTAATTACGTCTTGTGTTTCAATACATGGCTTTCAAGTAAATTCTTGGATGGACCTTCTGTCTCTGCTAGCATAAACAGGGCAGAATAGTTCTGTGAAAATTTGAAATCAGAAAACATAACTGAGGTCCCAACAAACCTAGCTTTGACACTCAAGGGTAGACATTAGGATCACTCTTAAATTCATATTATATATATATAATATATATTATTATATTCACAAACATTACAATGTTTACACTTACTACTTATAGTGAAAGACGCACGACAAAGAGCCGTGCAGAGTGGCTGTTGTAAATCACAGCAGAGCAGGCTGTGATTGCTAATTACTACATTGGTTTGGAGACACAACTCAATCCATGCTCAACGTGTGGCTATAAACGTGTGGCCGAGGGGAGCTGCTTGTGTGCGGGAATTCCCCTTGTGTTCAACATGTGCGTGTGGGTACGGGGGTTTTTCGGCGACGGACTGGTTTCTTTCACACATCAGTAGAATGGAGAGAGAGAGTTATTACACCGTGGAGAGCTGGCTTCATGGCACAGCTGCCTCAATGGTCAGCCTCTGCAGGCCAGGCTATTCATTAGACCGTCCTGATACTAAACCAGGGATATGGTTAAGGGGACAGTTCTGTGTGGGGAGACATTCGGTCTTGATACATCTGCCATCAATTTGATTGGTATTCAGAAAACTTCCATATTCATAATATTGCAAGGCTACACAAAATAGAGCTCACATTATTTGGGAAAATGTAATATTTTATACTTCTACATTGTACTATTTACTTCAATTCACTTATTCAAGATCTATTGGAGTTTACCAGAGAACTCCAAGTTACTTTGCCTGTTAAATCCTTCTCAAATATGCATTATGTTTACGTAAATGTGACAACAATTGAACTGTCACTCTTATTCTGACTTAAAATGGCTTTTATATAAACTTTACTGCTTTTTGCACATCTGATTTGATGCATTTTGTTGTCTCTGTACTATGTATAATGACCATTATATAGAATTGTATGTAATTGTATTTGGGCAGACGTAGCTCAGGCTATACGGACTTGGCTTAGGAACCCAAAGGGTCGCTGGTTCAAGTCCTGATCGGACCAATATAATATGGAGTACTGGCAATACTGGCAACGGGAGAGGCGGACAAACTGGCAACCTGTTTGCTGCGACTTCTCTCAATATAGCAGAATATAACATATACTTATTTATGTATATGTATTCAGACCTACTGTGTATATGTCCTTTGTGTGTGTATAGTACTGTGTGTAATAACAACTGAGTCAACTGAATTTATAAGGGTCTTCTTCTTGCAAAAATATGTCAACCCTCTTAAATAAGATCATTGAAAATTGTGACTCAATAATAAATATTTTTAATTTTGAAACTGCACTTGATCCAACTGAGTATGACTACAAACATAGAGAGAATAAAGGGGTAGGTGACTTGCATGGTTGCTGGATCAATCACTCCATCTAGTGCCAGTCCTACTCAAAAGTAATGCACACGTTGTTGGACAATAACTCTGCCATCAAAACATGAGTGTATTTTGACCTTGGCATCGTACCTAATAATCAAGTCAAGGATCATTAAAGACGGGTGAAGAGGACGAGATGTGAAAGAAAACAAGCGCACACATATTGCAGCCGTTAAAGAGAGCGCTTCGCCGCTGCACTTCATCTGCTTCCCTCTAATTAAACCACTAGGAATAGATCCACAGATCCACCGAAGTGCCGCATAGCGCCAGCCGCCACACCAAGAGCTGGCGGCCTCCAGTCCGCCCTCTGTAGAGCTTCCAACACACAGAAGCCACTGGGGTTTTATACATAACTCTTCCCGGCCAGAGCTCCAGGGCTTTCCAGGCGCAGTTTGAGTCATATCATTGTTTCCTGCTAAGTCTATCTTTCTTGTTTCTGCCATGTTTTGCTTGACCACTGTAAAAGCAACTTCCCCAAACTTCTTGGAAAGATTTCAATAGGAGCCAGACCAATGAACCCGTCGCTCAGGATTTGGGCTCGGATCAAATCAAGAGGCCTCTAATTATGGGACAATCGCAAGCTGGCAGCTCAGAGATGAAAATGAATAGAAGAATAAATACTGATTGAAGAAGTCCTGCCATTTGAAGAGTTAAAAGAGTAGCCTTTCCTAATCGTATTACACGCCAAAAATACATATAAATTCAGGGGATATGTTGTCTTTTTTGGCTTCATTTTTGGTTCTGTTTTCAGTAGTTATGTAGCCGTTTAGATTTAGCTCAGTACAATGAGTCAGAAAGATGATAAGTGTATAGAGTTTTAAGTTTGAGTTGCCTTGTAGAAAGGGTCATGGGGAACTGTCAGCTTTAACAAGTACATGGAAACTAACTGCCACATGTGCAATCTTAAAAGTACATTTCTGTTGACAACTAGCTTGGATAAGGAAAGAAAGTTGAAAAAGAGACAGAAATATTTCTGGGAACAATTAATGAAAGCTGACTTAAGACACTTCCAAAACATTGCATAGCATAGTGACTAGAAAAATGGATGATTTGGAAGCTCATATCTCTCATTAAAAACCTCAACTACAGCAAAAGTTAGAAGCTAAAAGGGGACACACTAGACCCCACTGGCAAGAAAGGGCAAGGACCTACAGATTCAAATATTACTGATTCCAAACACACACATTAAGCAAGTTACTAATGCATGTTACGCCTCTGCTTAACTCAACACTCTTGGTAATAGGTGCTTTTTTTGCCGGATTCTCAGCTGATCAATGTAACGATGCTGCATGAAACAGCCATGACATCATCTTCGACGGCACACTCCCTAAATACTTTCACCGACAACTAAACAGCACTTTTTAAATGGACTAAACCTAACCCTAGTTTTGTGGTTATATATTCATATTGTGGACACAATTACAGTTGCTATTGATGCTGGCCTTGCAACCAGAAAAGACAGAGTCATGTTCAGTAGAGCTTGTAATACTATATAGAGAACATATGTAAATACACTAACTCACTGATAAATGATTGGAATCAAGAATGATTTACTCTAACTTAAAATGTTTAATCATTGTATGCTGTTTTGATGGTTTCTACTTTCACTGTTTTCTTTTTAAATGTTTCCTACGACTTTTTGGCTTTAATTTTTTTTGTACGTTTCTTTTTTTTTTTTTAAGTGCCTTTATTTTAGTGACAGCTATGAAAGGGGGAGGTATAAAGCATAAAGGTTGAGTGGCACATTCCACAGCTGTTCATATCACAATCAGTTTTTTAAATGTTTAGCACTAGGTTTTTTCTTTTTTATTAAGCAATGTTTGGCTTTTTTGTAGATATCATGTTTACTTCCTGCTGAAAGGACTACCATGTCCTGTCTTAATTTGTCTGCAATATCATCCTGTTCCTTTTCATAAAGAGCTGCAGAGTTTAGCAATAATCCTCGAAGGATTTTTGGGGCTTGGAGGTCAAGGAGTGAGAGCCATCTCTCGTCAGCTCCATTATTAACAGCACATACACACACAGCACAGAGCATAAAATACATGAACACACAAACACACACGCACACAAGCATACACGCATACACACCAAAGGAGTAACAGGAACATTCACATAGTTTTACAAGATAGCTTTTATTAAGGCAAATGTTAGAGTAAAATACTATGATGAGAGGTGAGTCTAAAATGTAAACATTAAAGCTGCCTTCAGACACTGATTCATGAACTTGTAGATTCCAACGGCATAAAGTAAAAAAAGAAAAGTCATCTTACTTTTGCTTTGTGCTGAATTAAGAAACCTAACCTTAAAGAGTCCCTATTAGGCTTTTGGGGGTTTACCCTTTCCTGTGGTGTGTTATATATGTTTGTGTGTGCATGTAAATGGTTTAAAAAGGCAACAAATCTAAAGGTTCCTCTTCCACACCCTCCCCGGGCCCCCCCCGTTCCTGAAACGCCTCCATTAGACTCCTTTGTTTACTTCCGTAACATTGTGACATACAGTAACTATGTAAAAGTGCCACTTCTATTGGCTAGCGCTCTAACACATTGTATGTGATATGCTAAGAGAGCGGACATCTCTAAGCGGTTGACCAATCACAACAGAGCCGGCCAGCTAACCAATCAGAGCAGACTGGGCTCTGGTTTCAGACGGAGGGTGAACACAAATTAAGCACTGTAAAACATGTAAACATGTCACAGTAGATGCACTAAGTACAAATAGGAACCTGAAAATGATCAAATGGCCCCTTTAAGGTTTGTGCAAAGGGATAAGTTGGGGGAACTCAGGCTAAATGCATGTTCATTGTGAATAATAGAGTATGACTACACCCAGATGAATACATGTGTGTGAGTTGGCTAGTTCAGGACCACTTAGGAGACTAGATAAAGACTCATGTGAATCAAACAAACATCATTTTACACTTAAATGGAAGTGTAATTCCTCTCCTGCCTTCTCTGAACTTGTAAAGAGTCCTTCCTCAGAAATAAAAGTGTGCGTGTGTGTGAGTGTGTCTTACCACTGGGGTTGAATTGCATGCAGGATATGGGTTTGTCATGAGCTGGGAAGTGAGCCACCACTCCCTCTCCGTCCGACTCCTCACTCACCAAGACCTGAAGTAAATACAGAAAAACACACTGAAACTCTTTTTCAAACAATAAGAACATTCAACCCAAAATGGGACTTTCCCCTACCCAAGGATTTATCTTCACATTTGAGTTTATTCTGATATCACCACCACACTCAGCAGTGTTCTTTGACATCACCCTTTGGTGAAATAGCTGAAAGTTAAACTCCTTTCTGAATGAGTCATTGCCCTCTTGTGGATAGAAAATCATTAGCATATTACCTTTGTAAGAAACAAAGGCAAGACAAATACGCACTTTTTTCAAATATGTTTCTTTGTGCTGCATGAAAGGAATTCGGAATCATCAAAAGCTGAGCTATTTTTTGATTATTAATGCTTCATTAAGAGGCTGTACTAAAACCAGTGTGAACCGGGTAAAACAGAGACAAGAGTTTGGACAAATTCGATTTTCTCATTTGTGTATTATTTTGTGCCTGTTTCAGAGAAAGCATATACACAAGGTTAAACCTGGACCCAGTGTTGCATAAACGATGTTATGGAGGACGGCTGAGCATTTTAAATAGGAAACTGGACCAAACAAGAATGAGTCTCTTTAGGGCTTGGTCTCAGACAAGCAAGCAAGATTAAAACGGAAGGAAGAAAGAAAGGAAGAAAGAACAGGACACTTTTATAACAATTCAGGTAGACAATACCAATACAATAGAGGGTCCACCAGAGAAACATGACGAATCGGAGAGTGTTTGTGCCTGTTTCAGCAATTTCTCACTGAACTGAGTTTTGTTCTTGTCCTGTGCTGGTGCTAATTTGGTTGAACCAACTGCAAACCAACAAAACAACCTGTGTATGAATTGATTACAGCCGACAGCTGGTATATTAAAAAAAACTGAAAAATGGCTTATATATATGTATATATATATAAGCAGGGTGGTATGTTGCAGTTCAAAAAGGCCAATGACAGAAAACAGGTGGTGATTAAAAGAATGGTGAAAAGTAATGATTATGTCGTACATATGCCTGGTTAATGTCTCATGATGTTTATATATGTGTGTGTGTGTGGATGCGTTTTGACCTGTTTGCGTTCTCTGTGCTACTGCTACTGTAACACTTTCTAACTCTTTGAGGTACTCTCCATGGACTATTATTTTTCAGTCTAATCTTGCCCTAGCCTCGTACGTGAGCCTCCAACATACTCTTGGTTCTTGGTTGGTGTTGGCAGAAAAGATAGTTGGGGCCCCGAGTTGAACCAATTTCAGGGGACGGTGAACCAGGGCTACTCAAGTGGAAACGCAAAAAAATTGTTCGCAATTGGCTCCTGTAACAACTTTCTACTCTTTGCAGTACTCGCCATGACATTTGATCTGTTAGGCTAACCTTGCCCAAGTCTTGGACGTGAGCTTCCGACATACGCTGCTCTTGGTTCTTGGTGTTGGCTAAGAAGATAGTTTAGGCCGGAGTTGACCTAATTTGTGGAGCTGATAACCAGGGATACTCAAGTGGTAGCACGAAAGACAATCAGAATCGGCCAGGAACAGGCCCTGGAACCACCTTAATTGAAAACGGTTTATGATTCTGCTATTACAAAAGTGGCATTTTAAAGCCTGAAAGACATGAGAATAGCCTGGACTGCCACACTGACAGCAACCAATCTCTATTATATTCCTGCCTTTTACCATTTCTCCAACTATCACACCCCAACCCCAATCTTCATTCACTCTCCATTGCCAGCCCACTCTCTGATTCCTCTCCCTCTACTGTACATTTCTCTTCCGCTTGAAGCTTTTCCCTCCGTGCTAGCCAGGCCCAGTCAGTGTTTATGGCCAGTGTACGGTTACGGTGTGTCGGCTGCTGACAAAGTGCAGGCCTGCTTCTGAAGGCTTAGGTTCAGCTTATAAGACAACACACTCCATGACTACAGCGGGGCCACAGTCGATGTGTAAGAGAGAAGGAATAAGCAGTAAATGTGTGTTTGGTGACCACATCACTGACAAACTGTACTGTGTGTGCTTACACACCTCATTAAAACATGACAGCTACTGCAGTGTGATTAATCACGGTAAAGTGGATACAAGCTTTTAGCATGTCTTTAGATGTTAAAACGAGATCCTGTTAAAGGTAACTGGACTGGTTCTAACCATAACATGGGTTGGATCTAAATTTTAGTGTGTACACTCTCTGTATCCTGGTATATGTACCTCGTTGGGTCTGTGCAGAAGGATGTTTAAGGGCCATACATCCAAATGGAGATAACCTGCCTTTTTTGTAGATTACAGTTTACCACTTTGCAAAAAAAATTGAGAAATAACCAGCATCAACCAATCTGAGAAAAATGTGATTAGATATTTGATACTTTTATCAAACATTATGCTGAGAGAAAATACTTTTTAATAAAATAATTACAATATTACGTTTACATTATAACTATTATGTTCTTAAAATGTTGGTAGCTTTTTGCCATATTGGTCAAATGTCAATGGCATTAATATATAATGTTAATCCAAAGAGTTAAACATTTTGATTTCAAAGAACAAAGACTGGACCCTGTATATAACATTGTTTTAGGTAATTTAACTCTCCTCTATTCACTACTTGCAATTTTGAGGTGAAAATTATATATACAGACCAACAGAGTCTTTACATGCAGCAAATATATGTGAGGCCTTTCATCAAGTTGTGCGGGTTTAGGTGAATGGACCCATTCACCTAAACCTAAGGGTCCAAGCCAAAAAAAAAAGCCAAACCTTGGATTCCCTGTTTCAAATAAACCCGCAGCGGCCAAAGTCATGTTTACCAGGTCACACATTACAACATCCAAGAGGCAAATAGCCAATACAAAATTGGTGCCAATTTAGTTTTGGTTATGTGTGTGTTAGTTCCGGAAAAAAACGGAAACAAACAAAAAAAAATCAGTTTAATATAATATAAACATTTGTGTTTTATACTCTAAACCTCTGTTACAATTAAAAAAAATTTTTATGGAGGTCAAAATAACATTGAATAATGCACAGAACCCAAGATAATTTTAATTTTTTAAACAACAATAATTATTACTCAGGATTGGTTTAGAAATCAATATATTTCAATCATAGCTTTTGTTTATGTTATGCGTGTTTTGGTGTATCTTGATCTATATGTATATGAATCATCAATACTGGCTAATTTGTCTTCTTAACACAGATTTTATTTGATTATGTTCCCTTAGGGTGTTTCTAAAATATGGTTCATAAGACTGGGACAGATGTCAGGTCACATTCCTGGACCTTTGAACACCAAAATCTAAACACATGGTCCATGATTCTAAGTTGACGTCTGTGCGGAATATTGACAAATTCCCTGAAGGCGTTCCTGAAATATCGTATTCAAGAGAATGGGACAGACTGACGGAAAACCTGATTACATTAGGCCTCTGGACATCACTGTTGACATCACAGAGACAAAATGAAATACCAAATCTGGCAGTTTTACCTGATGTGAAAGAGACTTTTGATATAGTGCATTGGCCGTGTCAATATTGTGATAAAAATGTTGTATTTTTGACAGTACGAAATTATAAAGTGTCAATGACAATTCAACCAGCAAAATCACGGTGAAAAGTACCAGTATTATTAAATTATACAATACCAAAGGAAAGCCGAAACACTTGACTGACCTGTCCTTCGCCAACACTATGTGTGTCAACGATGGTGACCACCCCTGGGTTGTGGGGGCTGCGGCGGATCACACTGTGAGGTGTGCCCTCCTCATCCGGAGTACCTGCTGGAATGGTGCCTGCCAACTGCGTGACAACTTTACCCACCATTGTCAGGCCTGTCTTTAAAGTCTGAAAGAAAAAAAAGAAAGTATAGAGGCTTACAAATCTAAATCTAAAACCTAATGTCACATATTAAATATTCGGAACACATGTTATAAATTGTATTTTGGAGGTCACTTAGTTTGAAAGCTTTGGGTGCAATAAAAAATGAGCTGCCAAGTGAATGTGCAATCCTGTCTGTGTGTGTGTGTGTGTGTGTGTGTGTGTGTGTGTGTGTGTGTGTGTGTGTGTGTGTGTGTGTGTGTGTGTTAGTAAGGCTCCTCTGTGTCCGCTTAAGGCCCAGCCAGGGTGTCTGGCTCAAACACACCTCTGTGGCTCGATTGAGGGAAATGGATAGTGCTGCTTAAGTGGAGTCTATCTCACCTACTACACTGTCTTGTCTAATGGAGTCCAATGTGTGTGACCGTGTGTATGTGTGTGTGTAAGCGCCAAAGGGGCCCCGGAGAGCCTAATCAGGCATTCAGACCAGGCGGCCCTGTCAATACAGCATGGCGCCTTGCTTTTGTTGGGTCTGAGGATCACCCACTGTCTGTCTTTGCCACTTGGCCTGGCCTTTTGTGTGTGTGTGTGTGTGTGTGTGTGTGTGTGTGTGTGTGTGTGTGTGTGTGTGTGTGTGTGTGTGTGTGTGTGTGTGTGTGTGTGTGTGTGTGTGTGTGTAAAATGCAAGAGGAGCCATTAATTATTAAGTGGGACGTTTGGCTCCTAATTGATCAACACTAATGTGTTTTCTAATCACTGCAGTTGAGGAGTTCTTAGTGGTAGTCCAAACAGGGGCTATTGATCTTCCAGTGGAGGGGGGGAAGGGTCTGGGGGCATTTCTTATTTGATGGCTGACAAAAACACATGAACAATCACACACACACAAACACACAGCTACGGCCTGAAGTCGCCATCTAAACAAATTACAATCCAATTTATGTGAAAGGTCTTTCTCTCTCATACACCCAGGAGAGCCAGGCAACAGCATTGATGTGATACACAAATTAAAGAGAGCAAATTTAGAACAAGCAGTCCAACTGGCCGCACTCTCAATTGTATCTTTCTTATAAACAAAAGCCATTACTCTTTAATGCTACCCACCCCCCGTGTTTTCCTGTCTCTGGACGTCAGCACTAAGAGCCAGCGTGTCGCGCCAGAAGCCAGCAGGAGATACCTTGTCATCCTTATTGAGATATATGGTCCTAAATGAGGAGAGGGTGGGCAAGCAGACTTACTGTCTGAATATAAATACCCCCCAACCATTGTCTACCGCTAACAATTAGACTAACCTGTTAGCAACACAGTGGTCTTCTTTATTACATTATTATATCACGGTATTAAGCTGACGTCCAAGCAACTTACATACACTTTAATACATTGCGCCACATTTTCACTGCATGACTTGCTCTTTTGGTAGCAGTTCCAAGCTGATATTAGAAGGTGAAGTTCACTAACTGTAGACCGCTGATTGGCTAGAGAGAATCAACATCAGCGTAACATATCTTGCTCAAACCCACCAGGCTACTGTTAATAGCCATAGCCGACTATTCACTAACCACACACTTTTGAAAATGTCAATCTGTAAAACTAAGGCCCCGGCCCCACGGGGACGTATACGGTAAAACGCAAACGCAAAAAAGGCTTCCGTCCACACCATAGACTGTCCACACGCAATCTGTTCACACGAGACAGCTCCATTTAGCTCCAACCGCTGGAAAAGCTGTAACTTCCTCCACAAAAGCAGCGATGAAGCATGGTTGTCATGGTTGCCCTTCTGTTTATTCTCCGCAGTGGGGGCCGAGGGAACCGGCCAGAGTTTTTCGCCGGTCAACGTGTATTAAAGTTTAAATCTTCCAGACAAAATTATAAAAGTGCCGGTCAAAGGTCTTCTTTGTTATTTATTGAGCTTTAAAACAAAAAAGCCTCCTCCCTCTCTTCTGACAGCGTCAGTGTCAGTCTCATGCAGCAGCTGATCCAGTAATGAGTGACCCGACAGTAAAAATAAACAAATTTATAACTAGTTTAGGTAGTTTGAGAGGTAATTAAAATAGCTAAGGGAGATGATCTGACTTGAAGTGTGTGTTTTGCTCCGTTCACATCTGCATCACAGCGGGAGGAGATGCAGGTGAGCAGAGCTGCGTGTCTCCGTCCTGTCAGATTAGACTTCACTCGCGTTTATGTCCATATCGAGAGAAAGATAAATAATCTGGATTCAGTGTGCAGTTTACTTTGACGCGGGGGTGAGCAGCAGAGGTGGGGCTATTGCGTCATCATTATCAGAAAATGATCGTATAGGGCGTAATAACAGAGCCGTTGGACCCTCCAGAGCGTTGCGTATGCCGTTCTATCCACCTCGGGACCCGTTATCGTTACCGTAGTTGTTTACTGCCATATTCTGTCGTCCTAGTGTGGCCGAACGGTCTATATGACACTAAACTGTAACGGAAACTACCGTATGCGTCCTCGTGGGGCCGGCGCCTAAGTCGTACGCTTAGCCATACAATTAACAAAGTCCAGACTGTTCCCAGATTGGTTGCCAATATTCAGCCAATGTAGCGTTGAAAATGCTACAACCAAAGTTATACCCAGGCGTCACTAGGGCCATTATCTGAGAATCACGCCTATATCCATTGTGGAAAATGAAACTGAGAACAGGGCCCGGTACTAAAAGTGAGTTGATTCGAGCCGAAACCATGCAATGGGAATGCAGCATAAGAGTCACTGCCGTGTTGAGATGAGTGAAACAAGACCATTGGAGGGAAACAGATTCCACTGGGAAACACAGATAGGCAGGTTGATGAAGTGTCTCATAAGCTCGGCACTAGTCAGCCAGGCGGGCCAGGTGGATCCAATCTCAGTACATTTACAGATGGCGTAGGCGGAGCTAGAAATACTGTATTATGTGCTGTTGTATCTGCGCTAAAGCTTTTAAGACGGACCAAAGGACCTGTAGACAGATTATAGCCAAAGTCTGAACATATACACTTATTTTCAAACTTTTAAGATTAAAGCAAACCAGTTAGAAGACAGTTGTTCTGATTTTCTTAAGGATACATTTCAATGAAGATGGATTAGTAGTAAAAAAAAACATTGTAGGTTTCTTTTAGTGTCGAATTTTAGTATAACAAGTGTGTGTCAGACTGTTTTGCTTCCAACTCCATGTTTGCCCTGAAATTGTATACGATATCCAGGGAAAATGCCAACATTTTGAATGTAAATGGCGATGACAAGGGTTAGGAACATGTTGCGGTTGCTTCAGTTTTTTTCATTTCCATATGCAGAACAATTATATTGAAGCATGCGTTGGCAGTGAAATCCTTGTTCTCAGATTTTCAAAAATAATGCTCTTTCAAAAATGACCAAAAAACGTAGTAAAATGAGAATCTAGTAGATCAAATGTAGGGAATGGCAAAAATGAGAGAGAGAAAAATAAATCAAGTTCATATCTGTTAAGAAAGATAGGAACAATTAGTGATATATAAAAGACAAAACGTTATTAATGACCGTTAATTAAATCCGTTATTTGTAAGGTTTAACATTAAAATGTATTTTTTATCAGTTTTCTTTTTTTTCTGTTTCTGTCTTTTATTCTCTTTTTCTGATTCATGGATTGTTAATTAGTTGTTTCACGTATTTTAGTTTTTACTGTATCTCATTGTGTTACAAATACTAAAATGCTAATAAAAAAGAAAAGAAAATCCAAGACATAAACATGAAACTGCCCCGAAGTTAAAATATAAGAATACATTTTAATATATGTAATTTAATTAGAATACATTAATTTAATAAGAATCCATTACAAAATAATAAAAAATATTTTATTTATTGTATAAGACTTGTGTACCTGTGTGCTGAAATGAAACTCTGTAGGTAATGTTACTCACTTTAGCTGCATTGATAACTGTAGCTGTATAGGACTGTGCATTGTCACCGCACGCTCCTCCACGGGACTGGTGACACCGGATCAACTGCAAAAGAATCGAAAAATTTACAGATAAATAGAATAAGTCTACCAAAAATGTAAGAAAATAAAAAATGTGGGGAAATTAACTCAGGAAATTGGGTTTGCTTTAAAAGAAACATTACCCAACCAAAAAACCCAATCTGAACTGATTTAATTTAATATCACTGAAGTGGCTCCATACCAGTATTACTTTGACTGCTCCAAAAGATTTGTCATTTCTGGAAATCCTTAGGCAGTCACACAAACGGTGGCCCCTGCTGTCAATTACCAAGGCACACA